GTGTATGATCGCTAGGCGACCGATTAGCCGGCTGTATCGAACAGCCATACGTACGCGCGGGAAATAAATGCCTTCCGGGAGGACTTTTATGGGGAACTGGCCTCCTATTCAGTCGTTATAGGCAAGGAGAAAACCCGGAAAACTCCAAGCAGCCAGCCTGTCCGACCGTGGCGCGAACCCACGACGAACCTCCCAGTCTTCAGGGTCTGGTCACCACTACGATGAGCGGCAACGGAGACCACTCGCCCTTTTCCTTTTTGACATTGCCAGCCACTCTTGTTGGCAAGTGTTGCCAGACAGAGTTCGTGATCTTGGCAAGTGTTGCCAGACAGTGTTCAGGATCTCTGGCGCTGGCGGCCACACTATAAACTAAGGCAAGACTACGAGTTCGTGTTAAATTTTTTTATTATAAATTTCCACGCCGTTGATAGGCTTTCTGCGTTCCTTGCATTTATGCATGCCTCTTCCAGCTTGCTTTTGTAAATTTCAATTTTTTCAGCGGTACTTGCTAGCGTTGGGGAGCGCAAGGGTTTGACAATAAATTTGCTTCATTTCATTTTATTATCGAACTTTGGGTCTGCGCGAACTGGGAAAGTACCGTTTTGTTGGAGCCTTTTCTGACATCATACTTTTGTTCTTTAAGTCTTATTTCCAAGTTTATTGCTGTGATTCCAATGTAGTCTTTTTTTATTCCTAGTTGTGTACTCTTGTAAGGAATTTTGTATACTCCTGCTTTTTCTTCTTTTTTAATGTGATCTTTATCATTTCTTAATTAAGATTGTATACAGGTTAGGAGCTATTTTTAGAACCCTTCTTGTCTCCTTTCGGTTCGCAATTTCTTTCATAATACCTTTAAACATTGTGACTTTACCGGGATCTTGTTTTGAACTTCTTGCTGTGCCCATCTCGTATTTTTTTTAACTATTCCTGCTATTGTGCCTTTTTTGTATCCCAGTGCTTCGGATACTTTTACGATTCTGTCGATTTCCTTTGCCCTGTCTACAACATTGTCACAATATAGAAAGGCTCTTCTGATTAGAGTTCGGAATGCTGCCAGCTTATAACGGTATGGATCATTTGATTGCGATGGAATGTAAAGCGGGCTATGCGTTGGTTTGATGTAAACATTGGTAGATAAATGTCCTTTTTTGAACAGAATGTTAATATCTAGAAAATGGATAACTAAGGAACTTTTCTGTTCCATTCTCAATTTTAGGCCGTCGTTATTATTGTTTATCCTTTTTACGAATTCACTTATCTTACAATTATTCTTCCATAAAATAATGACATCGTCCACGTATCTTTTAAAATATACTATAGTAGAGCGTCATTTATCCGAATCAATTGGGGACTGAGGTTGTTCGGATAACTTATTTTTCGGATAACCGATTATGTACGAAAAAATATATTAACCTATCCCGTGTTGAAATTTTTCTCCGTTGAATGTCGCTTTGCGTTGAATTTTCGTCGATGTTAAGCCTAACGTAAACTTTTTAAAATAATAATCGTGACTATTATATTGTTAAAAATTATTTATTTATTTTTTACAAACAAAATAAATATATTGAAAAATATAAAAACAATAAAAAATTATACTTTAGAAGTTAATCTAGTATCAAAAACGTTCGATTCAGCATGACACACAGTTTTCAGAAAAACACCACACAAAAGTGCCAGTGCTGCCAGCTAAAACACGCATATCAACAAGAAAAAAAATATTGGAGTAGCCCAAGATATAGCCAAGGATTGCAACGCCACAGCATTAGCGAAAATTTAACTTTGCCGACTGGTATGCTTTCGGATAACCGACGCTCTACTTGTATATCCTTTTTGAAATCATACAGGACTCTTTTCTCAGGTTTCTAACGACCAACTTACATAGTATTCCTGAGATTGGACTTCCCATAGGGACTCCCCGTTTTTTCCTCTATGCCTGGCCGTTGAAACTAAAGCAGGATTCGTAACATATTAGATTAGCCAGCTCTAATACCTCCCCGTTGTAACGTATCAATTCGGGGTTATATCGAACATGATTTCTAAAGTGCTTCTATGCAAGATTCGATTCTTATGGAATACATACAAGCTCTCGTAATCCAATATATTTCTTGATATATTTTATATAGTTTACCATAACGAGATAGAATTACCGTGACATATTGATATTTAAAAAAATTATTAATAAAATTTTTATTTATTTCATACAATTATATAATTTTTTTATTTACTTTCTTTATTTAATATAAATTATTACGCAGTAATTAAACAAAAACTAATTACTTTTTCATTTTATTAATTACCTAAATTAATATACTTTTTGTTGTGTTCTACATTCTCAAGTGTTACGTGAAGTGCTCGTGCAGACTCGTGATTTTGTTGTAGGAGCAGGAACAAGATCGTTTCGATTTACGTATTTTCGACATTGTTTGAGGAAAACAAAAATAGCAGTTTAAATTTTACTGTGAATGTAATGCAGCCATATGAGTCGAATTGCAATATGATTAATTAAAAGTCGGAAGGAACTGTGATGTAGTTGACACTTGACAGTAGCATCGATGGCTTCTTTGCCTCTATAATTTATTTATTAATTTTAGCCATGAAAGGCGTTACGGTATCTTTATTTTCTGGACTATTAGCAGCTCTTGCTTCCTTGTTCGGAAAATTTTCCATGGCATCGGAGGAAGCGCTTTATTTATGTGAGGTCAGCATGGAATTCATGTCGTCGGATGAGCATGTCCATCGTAAAGCATACCATAACGTTTGTAATAATGTAAGAACCGATTTATTATCAATAATGAATATATAATAGGATTTTGAGAATAGAATTTTATAATGAACTGTGATTATTTCTTTGAAAACGATAGAGTATTTTTTTTTATTATGAAATCCAATTTACTAAATAACAGACAATAAGTCTAAAAGGTGGCCTACCAGTGGCCAAGCAGTACCATTCCCTGAAAACTGGGCGTTCGGTTGTGGGTTCGTGCCTCTCCGGGACGGCTGGCCATGTGGAGTTTTCCGGGTTTTCTCCACGTCTGTAACGCCCGAATAAGGGCCAGTTACCCTTAAAAGAACTCCCAGAAGGCATCCTCCCTAGGTAGATCGTCCGAGTCGAGTGTCGCATTGCCGTAACTTAAATAAATGAACAAGTCTAAAAGGCGCAGAAATTTGTTACCTCATCTGTCAATATAAATTTATAACTGACATTAGTATTCATAGATTTCAAGATTAATGATTAGCTTCAGATACAATTGATGTGTGTTTTATAGATAATGTTTTAATGTAACTATTGATTTTCATAGCAACTACTGTGAAAAAACTGCAAAATTACAAAAGTGTTACTTGAATTTTCCACTTGTATGTATTGTAACGACTATATAATAATTTTACAAGCAATCCTGTATATATTAGATCACAGTTTATGGCTAATTTTAATACAGTATATACTGGATATCATCCTATTGTTGGAAGAGTACTCAGTAAAAAACAATGTTTAATTATCAGGAAATGTATCAATTTCTTGCTATTTAATGCTTTAATAAACATCATTTGCATGATTACTATATTTGTAATCAATAATAAATATGTAATGTACTGTACTCTTATTTAAATCTGCTAATGTTTTTTCAGATTATACTAGTAATTTGTGCTGCTTTTTTTTTGTTCATGGTTTTCTTGTTTATATAATAATTTACTTATTTTTATGTTTATAGAATTTATTTTACAATTCAGTTTCTTTTAGGGAGAAAATATTTACTAACATAATCACAAAATCTTGGACTTGACAAAGATTATTTTAATTATCTAAAACTACAAAAAAATTTTATACTGAAATTAATCCATATTTAATTTGAAGTAAAAAGAATTCCAATTTATATAGTATTGAAAAATAATTAACATGTAGAACTAATGAATAGAATAAAATGAAATTGTATTTGGATAACTTACAAATGCAAATTTCATTTCCTTTATTATGATAAAGGTTTCTCTGTATGTAACTATAGAGAAACCTTATAATATTAAAATTATCATTTTATGAATTATTTTCTGGCATTACCTAAGTTTTAATTTATGTTATATAAATTAACTCTTCATAACTCTTATCATAACTCTTAAAATACTTTTTAATTCAAGATTTTAAACCGTAGCTTATTCAGCTTGTTTTGCTATTACATGGTTGTAATCATTTGCAAATTTTATGAATTTTTATTGAAAGAATAATAATTGTTTTGATACTGTCTTAATTTTCAACATGCAGTACATTGGTTACATAGTGTTATAAGCAGCTTAACATTAATTTAAAAGTCTTCTATTTTTATCACAAGTTACACAACTTGCACATACAAAATGGTTATTTGCAGTGATTCCAATAAAGGGCTGTCATTTTATATTTTTTTGGTAGACAGATGTAATTCAAAAGATCCTTGTTCTGCATTAGCCTTCATTAATTTTCTTGTCATTGCTCTAAGTGAGGTGTATAAATGCCCACTGTAAAGTTGGGCATTTATACTACTATTATGGCCAAAATCCAATCAACTGCTTATGAAGTTTTGTTATAAAATTTTTTTTGTTCTTTTTCAACAAGAGGCCTTCTATCTTTCTGTTTTCCAATTATTTTATACTAGAAAGACACTAATAATTTATTAACATGTTCAATCTTCCAAAGTTTAATATACAAACTAATCTTTTGTAAAAACTATAAATTCGTGCCAATAAATACACACAAACTCTATAAATTGCCACAATAGCTCGTTGGCATTTTAAAAGAGGTTACACATAGTGACATCTGCCTATGACTTTTATTTAGTTGCCATACTCAATTATTTTAACATAATCTCATAAATTTTATGAATGTTTAATATTCTAGGGTTAAAAAAGTTCCAGACAATGATCTAAAAACAAATTTTTAATTGAAAATTTCTAATAGACATTAAAGATTTAGTTGAAACTGATTCTTGCTAATATTTTAGATGCAAAGAAATTAATGAATCATTTTCAACACTTTAATAATAATATATTTAGGAATCAAAAGGAGAAAAATACTAACAAATTATCATATGTATTATTAGAATACTTTCTTGGAAGGTAGATTTTTTTTTGTGTCATTTGTCTTGACAGTAATGACTTATGCAAATAATATAAGAACATTTCAAAGCTATTTTCTTAAAAGAATCATATAACAATATCATCATATTAGAAATCATATAAGATAATCTAACAAATTTTCATAAAGGTCAAACACACAATGAAAAAATTAGTAAATACTCAGAACTCTGCCACGAAATAAAAGTATTTGTGGAGAATGGATAAGATACTTATCTCGCACAGACACCATACCACATATATTACACAAGTCTTAAGACATTAGAGCTTCACAATAGCATGTGCATCTATATAGAAGGCTGCCATATTAAACACATCATGTAGTCCTAAACGTAGATTCTTATACAAACAGCAGATAAACAAACTATTTGTTTTCTGTAATTATTCCATGAAGCATAACACTAGGCACCAGTACATATGCAGTGCAGGATACATTCCATTAATTACCATAATAATGGTAATTGAATAAGATTATTACAAATCATTCCTTGTTTTGAATTTATAAAATTCTATTTTTAAAAATATTTTTATAATCCTATAAATAAAATGGGCTTATTAAGGTTTTAATGGAATATAGTTTCTTTTTAATAATAATAATTTTAAGTATTTTAATCTTTATTCATTCTTTTTATACCATATGGACATAATCAAATATAGACTAGTCACATATTGTCCTAAATTTAAAATTGATTATTTGTTCATGACTAAAAGATATCTGTGTAATTAAAAATTTTTTACAGGTTTTGTTATTGGTTCAAATTGGATTTTTTCTGTTAATGCTGTTGTCAAATGCTCTTATGTGGACATTATTCACAAAAGCATTACAACTTTGTGCAACAACTCTTGAAGCAACTGTCACAAATACTGCTGCTAATTTCTTTTTCACTGTAAGTATTATTGTATATGAAAAATAAAATAATTTATATTATAAATGCCATTGATGAAATATTATAATAAAAAATTTGTAATGAAGAAATCATTAATTTTGTAATGACTGCATTTTGAAATTTAATAACATAATAAGAAATATTAATTTTATATAATTATTTTCAAACTTTTAAACTAAATAATCATACTTTAGCTAAATTATTAAATGAATACATCTGTTTTGTTAATTACATAAACAGCACAACTAAAAATTTAACATATAAATGATAAAACAAAAAATCTATGCTTTTATGATTCTATATGTCAAAAAACAAAAAAAAATTTTTTTAATTAATTGTATGATCTGAATAAGATAAATTATAAAATCCAATAATTATTTTTAAAATATTATATCATGTAATTTTATGTAATATACAGGGCCAGTTTTACAATTATGTGAACCTAGGCAATTGCCTAGCAGTGCCAAGGCAAGCCTTACTCATAAAGAAAGAACATAGATCATTATTGACATTATTGATATTAATTAATAAAAAAATTTTTAAATATCCACATGTATGAGTGTTAAGTGTGTGCTTGTGTGAGTATGATTGATTATATATATATATACATATACAACCTATATAATGTATAGAAATGCCCAAATTTTTTTTGCCTAGGGGTGTCAGATACTCTTGTGCTGGCCCTGGTAATATAAGAATTCTTAATACTAGTTTTTAACTCAAACCTTAAAAAACTAGTATTAGATAATAATTTCACATTTCTGAACTTTTTCTTCAGAAATATTAAAATTAAATAATTACAACTTTTAGGAACACTACAATGTTGGTACCTCTTGAATGTCCAATGTAAGACACCAAGATTACTAAAAATTTTAATTATCAGTAAATAAAATTTTTATATGAGTTATAACTGTTTAGGGATATATCCAAATACAGTATATCATTTGAAAAGTATAGGCTATAAAAAATAATTTTCTGTTTTATTCTGGATAGTAAATGTAGATATTCTGTATTTCATCCATATTTATATCTGGAGAAGTTAAATAATATATTTCTTGTGTATAAAATGCTAATTTTGCTGCTGTAAATGCTTTGTTGCAAATACATTTTTCTTTATCAGATTTAAGATATCACAATATCATCAAATTGCATAAATTTTGGCATCATCATATAATTAGGCTAGCATCAGCTTATATAACATGAAGATGCTGGCCTAAGACGGGACAAAAACATTTGTTAAATATTATGGATACCTAAAGAAGCAGTTATATTATATAACAATAATTCATATGCAAAGAAAATGCTCTTTAGCTTCCTAAATAGTAATTCAGCACATGATAAAGATCTGTCTGTCACTTCTTAATTCATAGATCAAGTGAAGTTTTGGTACAGGTCTTCTATTCCAAATTTCAATTGTCTAGAACTGGAGCAAATCAAGTAACCATGCTATCATTTGACACATTTTTTTATTCTCTCTCTAATATAAATGTATTTTGAATCACACTGTCTTAGTGATTCCTCTTCAGTATTATATAATTACTTGTGTAATGAATGCATTCTTGAGTGATGTTTGAATGAGTTCGCATTCACTTATTAGCAGGGAATGTTTGATGACTACAGTATATTTTTACTATTGATGGGATACTTCCAATGTTTACAGTATTTGTATAGTCATACATATAACTGACACATCTATTAATTAATGACAATTAACTGTAATACTGAAGTACTTTTGATGACTCTAGTGCTTATAATCCAATATATATCTAACATATTCACAAAAATTTTCAACTATATTAACATTTAACTGTTGGTGGTGGCTATATTACTATATATACGTTATTATAAGTTCTATTGCTCTTGTAAAATGAATTTTTAGTATGAAAAACTTTCAAATAAAACACTATCAAGACAAATGACAAACTATCAGTGGTTCATTGAACAACTCTGTGGCTTATTTTGAATACAGTAATACCTCAACTTACGCGAACCCAGAGTTACTCGATTTTCAAATCTCATTGATTTGTCTTTTGTTTGAGTGCCATGCAACTCTTGATTACTCACTCCCCCACACTATTGTTTTCAGCTTACATGTTTGGTCGTGTCGCGCAGAATCGACACATGGCTACAATTTATTTTGTGTTATTTATTTCTGTCTTTGTTATATCTACGGAGACTTGAGAGACTCTAATATGTCATCCAAACAAAGTAGAACTGATTCTTCTGCATCAAACAAAAAAAGAAAAAACTTTATCTTTGGAATGTAAAGTTAACATTATTAACTTCGATATAAAAATGAAACTTTGTGAATTGGCAAAGTTTGATCTACTGGAATTGATGGTCAGAACAATTATAAAAGGTAAAGAAAAATTCTCGCTGTGAAAAATGCTCAATCTTTAAATTCAAGCATCATTCATAAATGTCACGGTATTATCACTGAGATGAAAACAATGTTAAAATTATTGTGTGATAATCAAGTAAATGTGAAAAATTTTATAATAATATAATTTGTTATACATATGTATTATCTAAGATTTTATTAAACATTTTTTTTCTAAATTGTTGTTTTCTTTAGTCTACAGTCCGAATTAAAAATAATTTGTATGTATTTATATGCAAAATTATACCCCGACTTANAAACATTTTTTTCTAAATTATTGTTTCGTTTAGTCTCTGGCCCCAATTAAAAATTATTTGTATGTATTTATATGCGAAATTATACCCCAACTTACGCGAATTTGACTTACGCGGTTATCGCTTGTTCCCACCTATCGCGTAAGTTCAGGGTATTACTGTATGTATAAGCCGAATGCCAACAAAATAATTAATAAAGATCTTTGTTTTTATACTAGGAAGATAGAAAAACAAAGATCTTTATCTTAACTTCATATGAAAATATACATAGTTAAGTTTAATCAGTATGTATACAATTAATTATTTGTTTTATTCAAGTTTTTTGGGCTACAATTTGAAAAAAACTGTAGACATATAAATTTCCACTGTCATCCATCCATCCATCCATCCATCATCTGTCTTTCCTTAATCTTGAGAATGGAGTTAGATATGAAACCTTAGTGGCATGAGGCCCTGATTAACTATATGATGCAAACCAGAAGTCAATTCAAAAATTTTCTCCCTTTTAGGGGAAAATTTTTGAATTGAAAGGTATCTGATAGATGATGACCAGCATGACTCCATTGTTAAAGGAAAGGTATGATGTACAGGAGCAAGCCACTACTAATTTGAGGTGGAGAATATATAAATTAAATTAAATAAGTTAAAATTATGATTAAAAATTGCATTGTGATGATGTCACACTAAATAATTACTCATGTCATTATATATATGTTATAGTTAAATTGATAAATCTGGTGAATATGCATAATCACCAGGTATTCTGCATAATACCAACAGTTTTGGTGAATGTGATAAATTATTCACATTTTTGTAAAATTAGTCACATTAACCTATTATTATGAATAATAACCAATACACTCTGGTTAAAGTAAATTTAATAAATCTCATATTTCTGCAACTTTGAATCTGTTTATAATGACTTGAAATCTGGTTAGTTACATGTGTAGTGTTGCCAACACCCTAGTGAACGTTTTCAAGATGCAAAATTGGAGACACTATAAACTGTGAGTTCTTGATGTCAACAGGAGAAGAGATGACTCTGGAAACATTCTGCAGGTGGATGCTGATGGTGAGATGTATGGGAATGGCACCAAAAGGACCAATTAGCTCCAAAGTATTCAAGGAATCAATTTCTCATTTGTCAAAAGACTTTCATTTTACAAGAGGAAGTTTCTGATGTTATTGTGTCTCCTTGCAAGTGTTCGAGAAAATTGTTTATCATAGACAGTCAAGAGTATGAGAGATGCAACTGCAAGGGGGAAAATAGCTTTTGACAAAATGTAGCTACAAAAGTATTTCATGAAATGCTCTGTAATTTGACAGAGATCTTGAAATGTCATGACAGTTTGTTGTGTTCCAACAAGTAGGAGGTTGTTGTTTAAAACTGGTAACAATAAAAATATTCCGTACTTTATAATTTATCACTTCAGCCAAAAAGGTTTGGTGGTTATGTAAAATAACAGGTGAAAATAATTGAATGCAAAACTACATAGTCCATTTAACTATATATTTACAGAGACAAGCATTGATTTATCGATTAATTAAAGTATATGCTATTTATTATATCAATCTAAATATTTACGATGAAATGAAATATATATATATATCATTTTCTATTAACATTTTTAAAATAGTTATCTAACAATTAATATAAAATATTTATACTTAAGTTATTTTTTAACTTAATAATTCTAAGTTTTAATAGATTAAATTTTTTTTTTATAAAACTTTAAATATAATAATAATAGTAAATAACAATTAGAATATATTGATATAAATATAAGCTATATGTGAGAATATTATGCACTTAAAAAAATTTTTATATTTTATTTTCTAGGCTATATTTGGTCAAGTTTTTTTTGGTGAAACATTAACTTTTTTATGGTGGTTGGGAACAATGATGATTATAGTGGGTCTTCTTTTGATGCATAAAGGAAATCAAAGATTACATTCTAATGTAATTAAAGTTTCATCAAAACAGAAATGATTACAGTAAGGTTTGTATTATCATTTCAAAACTATAATTTTTAAAAAATGACTAAAAGTGATCTTAGTACTTTGGATATATAATCCAATCTAAGTGAACAATGTGCAGTGTTTTTAAGTTCATAATATAATTGTATTTTGAATTTTTAAATGTAAATTAATTCAGTCTTGAATTTTGTTGTAATAAATTCAGTTATCCAATTTTAGAATTTTGATTACCTATATTTACTAGTTGACAAATTTAATTTTTAAGAGATGTATTTTATTCAATTATTGTAATTATAAAATTATACAAAAAACTGAACTGTGTATATTTTTATCAGTATATATACAGTTTACTTTTTGTTTTTTCAAAGTTTTATTATTATAATAAATATATAATATAAGTTAATAAGGAATGATATGTTTTATACTTTTAAAAGATAATACTTGAAAATATTAATGTAAATATTTTCTTGTTTTTCAGAACATTGGTTATAATTAAATACATTTTATATGGATCAGGGCCGTAGAAGAAGGGAATTGGTCAGGCTCGAAAACAGAATGTGGTTATGAAAACAGAATGGATTATGGCCACCGTTTTCTGTTTTTGAGCATATTTTTTTTATAAAGATTTCATTTGCAAAACTTATTTCAAAAACTTTCTAATATCTAAATTTCCCTGGGTAGGAATGCATGTGTTTCAAGAAAGGGAGAAAGCAATACCTTATTTATGACATTTCTCTTATGGAAAAGCCTATTGGTTTGATCTGACAATGATGCATGCTAGTGGGTAATTTGAAATTAGAACTGTATTTATAACATTAGCAGCAAAAAGGGTTTGGCCATGCCCAGACCTGTTCCTATGACCATGAAGATATTAAATATTTTGATCTTTTGCTTATAATTTACTTATGACAGCTATGAATAAGTTTTGCAATCTTAGAAAGCTAAAATTATATATATCAGTATAAAATAAATTTTTTAATTATTTATTAAAAAAATTCATAAACCATATTATTTTATGAACTATCTATAATCACTGCATAAAATACTGATTTCAATGTACAATTTCTTGTACATTGAAATAGAAAATCCACTATCACAATTTCACATCATTTACTTATAAATTGCAATTAAATGTAACCATTTTAATTACACTCAATGGTAACAGTAATTTTTTATTCTATAAGTTTTAATGTAAAGTGAATTTCTACATTAAAATTTTCTTAAATTGACAATTTCATATAATAATTTATGTAAATGATAGCATTTACTCATACAATTATATAATTTGTTTTAAAACTTTATTGTTATTCATCAGTCATTGGTTAATCAAAATTTAAAGTTTTTTAATATCACTTGGATAACTGAATGTTATTGTATAAGAGAATATTTAATGTCTATGGTATGATATAAAAATCAAATTGTTAAAAATGTTAAAATCAAGAAAATTTTTATGCTCTGGCATTTAGTTATTGTAATAACTAAAAATATATTTATTAATAAGTTTATAAATTATTACTGCCATTGCTTATTGCTTATATATTTTTTAATACAAAACTGCCACTTTGCAAATGAAAGTTTAGTTTCTTAATGTGTATTATAGTCTGTCTATTTAAAGAATTAATTTGGGTAATACATGCTATAAAAAATTAACACAATTAATGAAAAAGTTGTTCTGTCATCTAGTGAGAGAAAATAAAATAAAATTCACACACTGCCTGACATATTAAGCAAAAAATGCTGATATCATTAAGGAATGTGCCGATTGATTTAACTGAAGCGACATCACACATGATGTTGCTCTCAAGTTGATTCTTTCCATAGACAGGCTATAGTATAGAAAAAAATTAAATAAAAAAGACTACTACATTAGTAAACTTTTAGTTAGAGATAATCACAGGAAACACTAATTAATTAGATTGAAAAGATATTTATATAAAAATAAATTGATTATCATGATGATAAATATGAAATATAGAGTAGGCCTAATTATATTAGAAATAGAATATTAAATTTTAGTTTGTCATAAAAGGAAATAATGTATATAAAACTCACTATTTTTTGAATACATGAATTAATTGTTTTTAAATTATGAATTTAAAAGATTTTCGTTAGGATAGAATTTAAAGAAAATATGGATATGCCTATTCATTTTATAATTATTTTAAAATGATTTTTACATTAAACGTGGTTATACAGGTTTTTAACATTTATAATAAAGTTATTTTAAATAGTAAAAGCAGTTAAGAAAAATACGAAATATATATATATATATTTTTCTTGCAATGTTTAAAATGGAAGCATGTTTATATTTATTTGTCTCCTTTGTTTTGAAGTTAACTTACAATATATAAAATAAGAAATTAAGAGGATAGAAGGCAAATATATATTTAAATAGCATTTCTTTTTGATAGTCATTTGGATTTAATGTCACATAGATTTATTTTATTATTTTAATCTAAATAAAACATCATTAATTAATTGATAAGAGAATTTATAACATTTAATTAAATATGAATTATAAATAATTTTTTGAATTGATCCAAGAAAATACTTAACTTAATTTTGAATTTTACCAGATTTTATTGATAT